TACGAACAGAGAGGGGGCAAGGGGGCACCCTTGTCTGAGCGATCTAGTGACTGTGAAGGGGTTGGATGTGAAGCCATTGACCAGCACTCTGCCCTGGGARCCATGGTACAGGGYACTTACCCATTTTCTGAAGTTAGCTCCAATTCCCACCCTCTCGAGGACTGCCAGCATAAATTGTCAGTTCACCCTATCGTACGCTTTTTCGAAATCACTTATGATTCACTCTCGGACCATAAACCAGTTTCGCGCTGGTTACGTCGATGGGAGTGAAGGTGGAAAAGGGTCATGGCACCTTCAAACTGAATATGATCATAATGGAAGATCCGGCCATGGTGGAATAAGTGTACTCCTTCTGGGAAGAATGGCGCTGTTCCACCCGACTCTTTCCCGACCCGGGATTATGGTTAAATAAAGGGTTGCACTTGTTGTCTGCCCTCCTTCAAACCATCTCGAGGGAGAAAGCAATAAACAGGAGATTCGAAGAAATAAAACTGAAGAGGAACATCGGAAGGGCAGAAAAAAACATGGGTTTTAACGCACTCACCGACAGCTACTGGGTACTCAGAAGATCCCAGTGGCTACACGAGTGGCAGGATATGCTGATTAGGAGACATGAAGCATGGGCAAGATTCAAACAGATAGACTCCATCATCTCCAAAGACAGAATGAACGCCCAAACTTTTTCAACTAAGCAGGATGGTAATAAAGCCTCAGTAATCACGGAAATGACCCACCCTTTTGCCCCCCACTCATAACGAGCGAGGGACTCAACCAACATCTGCGAATACGTCAAATCCTTTTACGAAAAACTGCTAACATCCGAAAAAGACCCTACTCAACCAATGGTACCCCCTGAGATGGAACAAATGCTCTGGGATTCTACCCGACGACTATTGTTTCCGGGAGAAGAGTTTGTTTTGGATCAACCAATTACGTTACAGGAAATAACCTTGGCAATGAAGAGTATGGTCAGGGGCAAGTGCCCCGGGCCGGACGGTCTCCCGGTTGAGTTTTTCGAAAAATTCTGGTCCCTGTTGGGGCCGGACCTACTACGGGTGTTCAATAACGTCCTGGCAAGCCAAAAGCTGGGCCCTAGAACCTCGGAAGGGGTAATTACGTTGCTGTACAAGGAAGGGGACAGATCAGATGTCCGGAATTACCGACCTATATCTTTGCTTAACGTGGCAGGTAAGATACTGGCCAAGACCCTAGCCAGGCGCCTGTCCCCCTTCATGACCAGACTCGTAGAACCTGATCAATCAGGTTTTGTGCCTGGTCGGCTGGTGTTGGACAACGTTATGGTTATCTCTCAAGCTATTGATCTCATCAAACTCACCAACTCTAACACAGCAATCATACTAATCGACGCAATTTTTTGCAAATCTCGTTGAGGAAGCTCAACGGTGCTACCGTCTTCCCCCGAACATAACGCACCCTAAAAATGAATGTATACGAGTCATACTTCCGGCCAGATACAGCCAAAATGAGGGTGCGTTGTATTCGGGAGAAGATGGTAGCGGGACTTGGCGCCCGCTGTCGAACTTAACTTCGCAGCAGTTTCAGCCGTTGTTGCATGCGTCTGTCGCGCTTCCATGCGCGCGCACGCGCGCTTCCATGCGCATGCGCGCGCACGCACGCATGTGTGTGTGCACTCTTTCACGACAGTAGCGAGTCGCAGATGTTCCCAAGAAAGGACGATGACCATGGACGTCGCTCCGCTGCCGGGGCAAGGTCCCACTTGCACGGATTAGGAGAATCTGGCCGTTGATCTGTGCTATCTACGCTCAATATCGCTTAATAATTCATCTATAAGTGGCACCTAGGCCCCGGTAGTCTCGACATGCACAAAAGACTCAGGGCACGCTCACACTAGGTACCAAATCCCCATTTTCCCCCAAAAAAAGGGTTCCCGGACAGTCACACATGGTGAACATCTGCCCAAATTCTCAAAAGGGGTGACCATTTGTCAGCGGCCTGCGAAGCCGCGGGGGAAGGAAATTTGCGGTGACCTCCGGAGGTTACCGCAATTTCTCAAATCTTTTTCCGAATTACTGTGAAAAATTGGAGAAAAAATGGAACCCCACGATATTAGCGGCCTATCAATTGAAGAAAAGGAAATTTGGGGAAATGGGTGCACGCACGGAGCGGTCAGACGCGCGGAGCACGAGCAGAGAGGTTCGTATGGACACCCGTTGCCAGCAGTAACGACCCAAAAAAAAAAGAAGGAAAAAACAGATTATAAAAACTGAACAATTGCATTTCCCATTTGAGGTACCACCGTGTGACCGGCGCCCTCCACAAGCACCTCGCAGAGAGCGATGTCGCGACCTTGTCGTTAGCGTATTGGGAACACAGTGTGACCGGCCAGGGCCACATTTCCTCAAAACGGCCGTTCCCATTTTCCCATTTTTTTGGGAATTTGGGTACCCAGTGTGAGCGTGTGCCCTCAGACTAAAATCATGGCGATGCATCTTTCCATGTTCTAGGGGAGGATTCACTCTCGTTTTTCACATTTCGACTTTTCGAGAGTAGTGGAGCGAGGGCGCCATGTGGGAAACGTAGTTGTGGACGAAGCGGGTGTTTTCTGTCCTATAGCGGTCGTTCGGAGAGACGAAGCGGTCGGCGGTAAATGCGGATGGGCTGTCTTTGCCGCCGGCTGGTTCTTCTTGTCGTCCTGTAGTAGCGGGACCAGCGGGTTCACCTACTGATCTGGGTGTGTTCGACACACCGGACCCCCATTTCGGCTGCACGTGACCGGATATATATCTCGTATGCATTCATTATCAGGGTGCGTCGTTTAGCTGATTGTATTCTAATCCCCGGGCCTAGGTCCCACTTGCCCGAATTATGAGATCCTGACCGTACATAGCAAAGATCAACGGCCGAAATCTGCTCATTTGCGCAGGTGGGACCTTGCCCCCGATTTGCATAGGAGTCAACTGCTCCGGGGCCAAGTCCCGCTAGCAGCGTTGAGCTACCTCAACGCCTGAATCTGGACGTGTTTGTCGAGACGTGCAATTCAGGAAACTCAACACCATCTCTGCACATCTCCGCAAAAGCGTCCACATTCAGGCGTTGAGGTAGCTCAACGCTGCTAGTGGGACTTGGCCCCCGGCCTTTTGCAAGCTTGACGAAGACCGCGAGTGAAATGTTCTCTCGTCACGCAGCTGCGTGCCCACCTCAGTCGGCGTACTATTCTTTCGCCTTTTTTATTTACTAAAGAGAATACCGTGGGGTGAGCACACTAAGCAGCTAACGCAAATTTTTTTTTTTTTTCACCGTCGAGGGGCCAAAAAAAAAGAAAAAAAGAAAAAAAAAGAAGAAAAAAGAAAAGAAAAAAATGTTCTCTCGTCTTCGTATTCCTCTTCTCCTCGTTACCGCATTCCCTGTCTTCGTCATCTCGTCCGTCTTTCTCCATTTTCAACAATTCATGTTCATGGGTGTACCGACAGAGCTACGACCGGTAGGAGTCCGGTTGGTCGTCCGTGTTTCTCAAAAGAAAGACAACAATTCACGGGCGTAGCAACTGAGCTACTACCGATAGTAGACCGGTTGGTCGTCCGTGTTTCTCAACTACCGGTAGTAGTCCTACCGGTAGTAGTCCGGTTGGTCGTCCGTGTTTCTTAACTACCGGTAGCAGTCCGGTTGGTCGTCCGTGTTTCGCAAAAGAAAGGTTTGTGGAAGGATTACCGTGAGTCTTTATAGAGTAGTGGAGCCAGACCCTAGTGCTCACCTCCGGGTGGGCCTGGTCCCATCAGCAAAAAAAAAAGAGTATCGGATTTAATTCCCAAATCTGGATGTGTTTTGTGCAGAGATGCAGGAAAGCCGATCAATCGCAATTTCTGCATCTTTCCACAACCAAGATCCAATTCTCTGTGCTAATGGGACCAGGCCCTGGGGCGCCATCTTACCGTTTTTCTGGAAGTTGCCTGCGCTATAGACTACCTGGTTGGTAGCTACGTGGTTCCTTGCTGGCGTAGCGGCGTAGCAGAGCGCGGGACGGAACCGGTAGTCGGTTACAGGGCTGAACATAGTTGGTTCGGGTATGGTCGGACGGCAGTTTTGGGTCCTCCTACTCCACATCCAGTACACGTGCCCGGTCGTCAGCTGCTCTGTCATTTGACAGCTCAAGCTGTTTCTTGTCCCGCCGTTAATGCTGATCGTCACAATGCAGTACCGGTAGCTGGTCGCTCTCCACAAACTCCTCCTCTACCTCCTTCTCCTCCTCCTCCTCCTTTTCCTCCTCTTCCTCCTCCTCCTTCTGGTCGTTCAGTGTTGCTTCGGTCGTTCCTTAGCCGGCTTCATCGCTTATTCCCAGTGCTGCGCTCCGTTGGTCCTTGATTCCTGGTAGCGATTCTTTTTTTTTTTTTTTTTTTTTTTTTTTGGGTTCTGGTCCAGAGTCTCATTTTGGTTGCTGGTGGAACTCCCAGTTTGTTGTTGTTGCCGAATTCCCATCTCTCTTCTTGGTCTGGTAGTCGTTCTTTAATTCTTTTTTAAAGTTTTTTTGCTGCTCTTCTTGTTTCGTGTCCTGGGTCAGTTTCTTGGCGGTCTTCGGTTGATAATTCCCTGTCGAGTAAACGAGTAAACGAGCATCGAAGAAGAAGAAAGTAGACATTTTCTTGGCGGGAAGAAAGGAGAAAGGATTGCTGGTAGGCGGCGAAACAGGAGGAAGGAGCGAAACGAGTCGTAGTAGCTGATCGGGAGTCCGAGCTGTCTTCTTCGTCTTCTTCTTCGCTCTCTGTCCCTTCTTGGTCAGTCCCTTCCTCGACATTCGGACGACGTCGCCGTATCCAGAAAGATGAAAGAGTTGAAATCTATATGGAGGCAGGGCAACCGACTGAGAATTTCTCAATGAAACTCTGGTAAGAGAGAGAGAGAGAGAGAGAGAGAGAGAGAGAGAGAGAGAGAGAGAGAGAGAGAGAGAGAGAGGAAAGGTTTGAGAGGTGGGAGGGAGGCGGTGGATGGTGTAATAACGTTTTATCTGGAGGAGTACGTAGCATACCGTGTTGTGGTGAAGGGAGGGGCAGGGAGGGACGGAGGGAGGGAGGGAGGGAGGATATGGAGAGAGGAGGTACATCCGCGGTGCATGGACCGTTGCCGAAGAGACCATCGACTGCTCTTAGCCAAAGGGGCAAAAGTCCCGCGCGGCGTCCTACAGATGGAGGAGGAGGAGGAGCAGGAGGAGGAAGTCCGTTGTCGTCAACAACAAGTTCCAGACTTGGCTCCTCCCTTACTAGAGGGGCTAGCAAAGGCCAATCAGATAAGGCGGAGGTTAAAGGGCATGCAGCTGGGCATGGAGTAGGAACAGAGAATAGGAAAGGTATGGACAACCACAGCCACAAGTCCTCCACCAGCTCAGGGCATGCTGTGGGCAGCAACAGTAATCGCCCACTCTTCTCTCGTGTGCCTGTGAATGGCGATGGGGTTTCGTTAGGCAGCGGACGCAGCAGCAGCAGGGTGGGTAGTTCTCTCACAAAGTCGTCTTCCTCTGTCAGAGATGCCGGTCTCTCTCGGGCGGCACATTCTGCAGCTCAGTCTGCCATTCGCTCTCCCGCGCATTCTGCCGCCTCCAGGTCGGACAATGGGACGGCCAATGGCAACAAGATGACAACGAGGGAGACTAAAACCGCCGCCATTGAGCACGACGAGCCACCAAGAAATGGCAATGCTTCCCCTCCTCCTCCTCCTCCTCATCTTCCTCTTCCTGCTGTCCGGAGCGCATCCGCGGAGGTAGTTACGAATGGCGCGAAAGACGCGGGAGTAGTTGCGAATGGCGGGAAAGACGCGGGAGTAGTTGCGAATGGCGCGAAAGACGCGGGAGCAGTTGCGAATGGCGCGGAAGATGCGGAAGAAGATGGAGGAGAGGGATGCGAGAGGCTTTCCAGTCCGAATGGGAAGTTAGGGGGAGCTGTGAATGGCGCGAAAGACGCGGGAGCGGTTGCAAATGGCTCGAAAGATGCGGTAGCAGCAGCGAATGGCGCGAAAGACGCGGGAGTAGCAGCCAATGGTACGAAAGAGGCGGCAGCAGTTGGGAATGGCGCGGGTGCTGTGAGTGAGACTGGAGTGACTACGACGATGGCTAGAGCAGGAGGAGTTAAAGGAGTAGTATCAAAGAAAGTCTCTGGGAAGGGAGGGCAAGAGATAGACGGAGGAGGACGACGACGAGTATCTGCATCGAGAGAGGAAGGGCACGGCAAACGGGTTGCAGGTGCGGTAGGAGGGGTAGGAGTAGGAGTAGGAGGAGGAGGCGGAGGAGGAGGAGGAGGAGGGATAGGAGGAAGAAGTGTATCAAAGACGGTGGGGGGTAATAGTGCTAATGCTGGAAGTCCCGGAAGCGGATTGCATACTGCGAGGATCAATAGTAAGGGGGCAGCTCAGGAGGGGAACTCTCATTCTGGGGGGGTAGGAGGAGGAGGGGTAGGTATAGTGAAGAAGCCTGTGTCAGATGCGACCGGTAGTAGCGGGAGTGTGAAGAGAATGGGCGAAGGTCGTGCAACGACGACGACCGATGGTCGGGGAACGTCAACGACCGACGGTAGGGGAACGCCTACCGGTAGTCGATCTAACGGCTCATCATCTTCGTCACCTTCTGTGGGAGAAGGGAGTGCGAGAAGCAGAACCGCCAGCGGAGGGACGAAACCCAGCGGCGTTGGTGCTCATCATGGTGCAGCGTGGGGTGGAGGAGGAGGAGGAGGAGGAGCGGGGGGCACGAAGAGATTACACCCATCATCGCCAAATAAAGGTACTGCTCGGCCAAGTAGTGCGACGGCTAGCGGCAGTAGTGCGACGTCTGTTGGTGTTCGACGACCAGGGTCAGCGGAAAGCGGCGCAATCTGGAGGACCGGGGGGGGGGG